GGTGGTGGCGGGCGGATGGGCGCGCGAGAAAAAGGCCCGCGCTGGGGCAAGAACGCCATCCTGAACGACGGAGGCCAAGCACCGATCCGAAAATGAGGCCCACGCTGCAGCGGGAACCCGATTCGGAACGATTCGGGAGCAGAAATGAGGCCGGCGCCTCAACGAGAGCAGCATTTTGAGAAAAAATGACGCCGGCGCCTCAGCGAGAGTCGTTTCCCGGGATTTCCCGGGCATCCTGTGTGTAAAAAACAGTACGCGGAGGGTGCGCGGCCATCACCCGGACGCCATCAGGGGAAGGATTCGGGAGCAGAAATGAGGCCGGCGCCTGAACGAGAGCAGCATTTGGGGAAAAAATGACGCCGGCGCGAGAGCAGCATTTTGAGAAAAAATGCCGCCGGCGCCTCAGCGAGAGTCGTTTCCCGGGATTTCTCGGGCATCCTGTGTGTTAAAAAACAGTACGCGGAGGGTGCGCGGCCATCACCCGGACGCCATCAGGGGAAGAGGGAGAGTATATTCGTATTGAGTAATTGTAGAGGGGGGGGGACTAGGAGGAGGAGGAGGAGGAGGAGGAGGAGGAGGAGGAGGAGGAGGAGGAGGAGGAGGAGGAGGAGGAGGAGGAGGAGGAGGAGGAGGAGGGAGAGGAGGAGGGGGAGATGAGGAGGAGGAGGAGGAGGAGGAGGAGGAGGAGGAGGAGGAGGAGGGGGGGGGGGACGAGAAGAGGGGGGACTAGGAGGGAGGAGGAAGAGGAGGAGGAGGAGAGGAGGAGGAGGAGGAGGAGGGAGGGAGAAGGAGGGAGGAGGAGGAGGAGGAGGGAGGAGGAGGGAGGGAGGGGAGGGGGGGGGGGGAAAGCTAGGTGCGCTCGCGTCATATCTGACGTCCTACCCCTCCCTCCCATCCCTTACCATGGCGCTGATTTTCTCTATCCGCGGAACTAGTGGGTGGTGGTGCGCGTGCGTGCGTGCGTGCCGTGGTTGTGGTGCGTTGTGGTGGTGTGGTGGTGGGTGGTGGTGTGGTGGTGGTGGTGGTGGTGGGTGGGTGAGGTGGGTGGTGGGTGGGTGGGTGGGTGGGTGGGTGGGTGGCTGGGTGGGTGGGTTTGTGTGGGTGTTGGGGTCTGTGGGTGGGTGGGTTGTTGTGGGATGTGTGGGTGTGTGGGTGTGGGGGTGTGTGGTGTGTGTGGGTGTGTGTGTGTGTGCGTGTGTATGTGTGTGTGTGTGCGTGTGTGTGCGCGTGTGCTGTGGCATGGCACGGGAAATGACGCCAGCGCTGCAGCGGGAGCACGAGTCGAAACGGGCGAAAGCGCGGAAATGAGGCCTGCGCTGCAGCGGGAGCACGATTCGGAACGAGCGCAAGCACGGAAATGAGGCCAGCGCTGCAGCGGGAGCACGATTCGGAACGAGCGGGGCCCGAAAATGAGGCCGGCGCCTCGGCGAGAGCAACATTTGGGAAAAAAACACAAGCGAAAACCCGTTTCCCGGGAATCCTGTGTGTAAAAAACAATACGCGGGGGGGTGTCGGATATCTTCGGAACGCCATCAGGGGAAGTGGGAGTATATTTTCATATTGTATAATTGTGGAGGAGGAGGTGGAGGAGGAGGAGGAGGAGGAGGAGGAGGAGGAAGAGGAGGAGGAGGAGGAGGAGGAGGAGGAGGAGGAGGAGGACGAGGAGAAGGAGGAAGAGGAGGAGGGGGGGGAGGAAGAAACTGGACGAGCTGGGGGAGGCCGGGCGAATGGCTTCGGGCCCCCGCGCACGCTCGCCCCGCGCGCAAAATCGCACCCGCGTCGGCCCGCAAGGCGCGGGCCGCCTGGAGGGCCTCGGCCGCCTCCGGCCGAGGCCCCAAAAGCTAAACGCGGCTGCCGTCGACGCGCGCCGAAAAAATCCCCGGCCCCCGGGTGGCTGCGCGCCCCCTTCGCGGGGCCCCCCTCCGCCGCCCCCCCCGCCCTACTTTTCTGTGGCTGTTTGTCGAATTTGTTGGGCACGTCGGGAATGCCCTGAAGCGGCAGTCGTCCGTCGCTCTCTGAGGCCAGGTCCTTCCGTGTCGTCTAGTCCCAGCAGTGCTGCCACTGATTTCAAAGCCACCTCCGGCGCCTCCTTCGCCGGCGCCCCGGCGCCCAGGGGGCCCCAGGGGGCCCCGCGCGCGCCCCCGCGATAGAATACTCTCGCCGCGGCTCGGGATCGGACGCCCCAGAGCGCGCCAGGCGCTGGCCCCCCGCGGGTTCGCGGCGGCCTCGAGCGCGAAAATCGCTGTAGCGATCTCCGCGCCCCAGCGTTGTTAAAATTGCGATCGTTGGTCTTGGCCGCGTGGGGGCCCTCGTTCAACTTGGACGCCCGAGTTATCCGGGGTAACTCGGGTCCGGGGTAACTCGGGTTTGGGTTCCCGAAAAACGAACCCGAGTTAACCCTGACCCGAGTTACCCCTGATGATTCCGGGGTAACTCGGGTCCGGGTTAACTCGGGTTCGGACTCTCGAAAAACGAGCCCGAGTTAGCCCTGACCCGAGTTACCCCTGATGATTCGGGGCTCTGAGTGGGGGCCCTCGTTCAACGCTCGGAACGTCTGGAGAAACCCCGGGCCCGCGCGCTTCGCCGCAACCGGCGTCTCCTTCGCGCGCCCATTGCCGAGCTCCGCCTCCCTCTCGGCGCCAAGAACCGCCTTCCCAAACGAATTCTCTCCCCGAGCAGTCGCGGCGCCCACGAAGTCGTTTTCGCGGACGGGCACCCTGGCCCTGGAGTCTCGAACGGCGAAGAAGTCGCGGGTGTTGCGCAGCCCCCGCAATGGCCACCGTGCCCTCAATGATGTTCCGAAGCTGTTCGGTCAATTTCTCTGCAACCCGCGCGGGCGCGATCCTTGCGCGCCCAATCCTCGGCGACCCAACTGCCCCGCCCGTAGACTCCGTCGACCATGGCTACGCGCTGCTTCTTTTGCGCCTCGAGCGTGCACGCGCGGTGCTTGCGGCGTCGGAGGGTTTCGCCGGGGCCCACACTGACGATGGTGCGCTCCTTCTGTCGCCGCTTCGCCACGGGCTGGCCGGCCGGGCGGCGAGGCCATCGGCGGGGCTGCGCGTCCGAGCTTGAGCCTGTGCCCGCTGGCGCGCGCACCTCAGGCGATGGATTGTTGATCGCGCCCCCTCGCTTCGGATACTTTTCCGCAGCCGCACGTTGAAGTTGAACTCCCTAGTCAGTGCCAGTACTGATGGAGAAAGGGGTTGCGCACTTTGGCCCTAGGAACTTCGCGCCACATGGCTCGGCCGCGGGGTCCCGCGGGTTCCGCCCAGGAGAAGTTTTCGTAGCGCATTTGGCGCACGTGGCGCTGCTGTCACACCTGGCGCAGCTGACGCACCACGCGATCCCGACAAATCCGATATGTTATGACATGTGGAGTTTCCTTTTTCCCCCCCTCCTCCCTTCCTCCATTCTTCCCGTTCATCCTATCGCCGTTCCCCCATCGACCTCCTCCCCCCTTTGTTCCCCCCTCCGCTGTCGCCCCAGTGTTCCTTCCTTAATCACGGCGCGGGCTCCTCCGTCCTTGCCTCTGCAAGTTCGACTTCCGTGTGGCGGTGGGCACATTTCGTGCTCTACGTAGCGTTTCAATCGGAGCCACCCCATATTCGTCACCCAGTGTTGTTTCTTTACGTATGGGCTCAAGCTGAGCGTAGCAGCCTTGGGTCGCTATTCGTTTCGGTCAAATCACTGTGAAGCTCGGAGGCCTCACCATGAGCAGAAAACCAGCTTATGCTTGCAATGCGGATTTCCGATTAAAAACTCAAGGAGTATGCATTGCTCATCTACTTCTAAGGCACAAGCGTGTCTACCAATGTTTGTTTCCACACTTGAAGAAAAGACTCCGCGCCTAATTTTCACGCGTCTATTTTCAGTTTGTCTCACGAATTGCATATCATAACAACATAACCATACATTCGTATGCTGCGCGCTCCGACCCACACGCGATGTGGTTTTGCGTTAGCAGGCGCGCACCGAAAATAAACACTAGTCTCTATGTGTTGTCTACTGGGGTCCCGCCTTCTCTTCTCTCTCCTCCTCCTCCGCCTTCTCCCCAATTTCTCTCCCCCATCCCTCCCGTCCTCCACCCTCGACCCCCTCCCCCTGTCCCTCCCCCTCCCCCTCCCCCTCCCCCTCAGCCTCCTTTTCCTCCTCCTCCTCCTCCTCTGCCTCCCCCTGCTCCTCCTCCTCCTCCTCCTCCTCCTCCTCCTTCTCCTCCTCCTCTTCCGCCCTCCTCCTACGCCGATTCCCTCCTCCTCCTCCTCCTCCTGCTCCTGCTCCTGCTCCTGCTCCTCCTCCTCCTCCTTCCTCCCGCCTTACTTCCCCTCAATCCTAAACAAACAAGACCACTCATCATACTCCCATCCTGTCGCCGTACCGCCTCTCCTCCTAGCCCTCCATCCTTCCTCACTCAATGACTCCTCCTTCTAGTAACTATTAGACGACGCCTCATCCTACTCCCTACTCCCCTCATCCTCATTCCTATAATTAATTCTCCACGTAAAACATAAACCTACTAAGAATCAATTAATCCTAGTAAGACGCATACTACTACCACCAATCCCAGTAAATCCTCATAGTAAAAAAGAAGTACTACGAAGCTCCTCCTCCTCGTCCTACTCCCCTCTCCTCAACCTCCTCCTACGTCAACCTCATCCTCCTCTTCGTGCTCCTGCTCTCCTCATCCTCCTCCCTCCTCTCCTCACTCCTCAACCTTCCTCCTCGTCAACCTCCTCCTCCTCCTCCTTCCCCTCCTCCTTCCTCCTCCTCCTCCTCCTCCTCCTCCTCATCCTCGTCCTCTCCTCCTCCTCCTCTCCTCCTCAACCCTCCTCCTCGTTCAATCAAGTCCCCTCCCCTCCTCCTCTCCTATCCTCCTCCTCCTTCCCTTCTCTCCTCCTCCTCCTCCTCTCCTCCTCCCCTCCTCCTCCTCCTCCTCCTCCTCTCCCTCTCCTCCTCCTCCTCCTCCTCCTCCTCCTCCTCCTCCTCCCTCTCGTTGGGGATGCCTCGAGTGGAGCGTCCACGGGGCAGCCCAGCGACACGCCCCACACCGACCTGCGGCCGCCCTGCTCTTCCACCTCGATCCTCGGGGCGGGGGCTCCCCGAGCGGGGCCCGCCCGGCTCCGGCGCCGCGGAGGGGCCGGGGGCGAGGGGGAGGAGGGGGAGGAGGAGGAGGAGGAGGAGGGGGAGGGGGAGGGGGAGGAGGAGGAGGAGGAGGAGGAGGAGGAGGAGGAGGGGAGGAGATGGAGGAGGAGGAGTGAGGAGGAGGAAGGAGGAAGGGGAGGAGGAGGAGGAGGAGGAGGAGGAAGTGTTGTTCGCCGCGATGCTCGGCGGCGAGCGGGGGGGGGGAAGCGAGAAGGAGAAGCTGCCGTCAAAACGTGTATTGAGGACGGGTGGTAAGGACGCCAGACCCTTGGAGGCCGAAGTTGGATCTCTTTGGGCGGCGGGCGACCAATGAAAACGGCAAAGGACGGGCCGCAGAGGCAAGAACACAAGGGTCCCCCAGATGAAGGCGCGCGTCCATACTAGGCGCGTTGGCTATACCGTTGGGGCCCGACCACAAGAAACCTTCCTCAAGAGACCCAGCCCTGAGACCCGAGGGTGTCCATCGATCTCTGGCGTGGGAGCGTCACGCTCTCCATGGCACAGCCACCGGCACCCAAGAAACCCAGGGAACTCTGGAGGCAAGCAGGTTGTTTCTTGGCATGGGCCTCCACTGTACGGAAACAATGGGCACAATGACCAAAAACACATGCTGTCCCAAACCAGCCGCGGCCGCTGTTGAGCAGGCGGCCTCCTCTCTCAAATGGACACCGTCCGCGGCGACAGCGACAGCGAGTCCTGTTTAGAAGGAGCAGGAACTGCTGTCGTAGAAGAAGAAAATCATGCTAACGGATTAGTTTCCCCACATAAAGAGATTAACGGTTTCGTGGGACCCATTTCTTGATGCCCTCCTCGCTTTGGCGGGGCCCCGCTGGAAGGGGGGAGGGCTACGAAACCTGGCGAAGAGTAATGCTTTCCGCGACCCTCCTCGCTCAGGCGGGGCCTCCCTGGAGGTGTGGGAGGGGCACGAAACCATGTAAATAGTATGGTATTCCGATACCCTCCTCGCTCAGGCGGGGCCTCCCTGGAGGGGTGGGAGGGGCACGAAACCATGTAAATAGTATGGTATTCCGATACCCTCCTCGCTCAGGCGTGGCCTCCCTGGAGGGGTGGGAGGGGCACGAAACCATGTAAATAGTATGGTATTCCGATACCCTCCTCGCTCAGGCGGGGCCTCCCTGGAGGGGTGGGAGGGGCACGAAACCATGCAAATAGTATGGTATTCCGATGCCCTCCTCGCTCAGGCGGGGCCTCCCTGGAGGGGTGGGAGGGGCACGAAAACATGTAAATAGTATGGTATTCCGATACCCTCCTCGCTCAGGCGGGGCCTCCCTGGAGGGGTGGGAGGGGCACGAAACCATGTAAATAGTATGGTATTCCGATACCCTCCTCGGTCAGGCGGGGCCTCCCTGGAGGGGTGGGAGGGGCACGAAACCATGTAAATAGTATGGTATTCCGATACCCTCCTCGCTCAGGCGGGGCCTCCCTGGAGGGGTGGGAGGGGCACGAAACCATGTTAATAGAATGGTATTCCGATACCCTCCTCGCTCAGGCGGGGCCTCCCTGGAGGGGTGGGAGGGGCACGAAACCATGTAAATAGTATGGTTTGCGGATACCCTCCTCGCTCAGGCGGGGCCTCCCTGGAGGTGTGGGAGGGGCACGAAACCATGTAAATAGTATGGTTTGCGGATACCCTCCTCGCTCAGGCGGGGCCTCCCTGGTATGGTATGGTATGGTATGTGTGGTAGGAACTATGGTATGGTATGGTGTGTGTGGTAGGAATAATATTGTGGTGTATGGAAGATGGAGCGGGAGGTTGGTGGGAAGGAGAGGGTGTTCTGGGAAAACAAGAACCCCACTCAGGATGTGGGGAACAAACATAAACATAAACATACACTTTTGGCGCTCCGCGCGGATTTTTTTGGATTCGCGTTGGACCCCGGGCGGCGCCGGAGGCGCCGCCAGGGGGGCCCAGCGCCGACCCAAGAAACCCGCGCGGAGCGCCAAAGCTTCATGTTTGTATGTTTTTCCCTTCTTCGATGTCGGTCTTTGTGCCCACCCTTCCCGTATCCATGTCGATCGTCCCGATCCGACGCTTCCGAGGCGGGCGATGCCGCGAGCTTCGGGCACGCAGGGGCCCGTCTCGAGCCCGTGGGCCCTGCGCAGGGGGGACCCGCGGCGCGGAGTCCGTGCGAGACGGGGGGTCGGCTGTCAAGACTGCGAGCCAAATCGTGCCGCCCCCCGCGCCGTGAGACAAAGCGTGACGCTGGAGGACTGTCAATGAGACTGAGACAATTGATGACGGCGAGAACGAGAAGGATATATATATATATATATATATAGGAACATACACAATTTGATGTGTGTATGGATGCATGCATGTGTGTATGCAGGCATGTGTGTATGCAGGTATGTGTGTATGTGGACATGTATGCATGTATGTATGTATGTATGTATGTATGCATGCATGCATGCATGCATGTATGTATGTATGTATGTATGTATGTATGTATGTATGCATGTGTGTGCATGTGTGTGTGATTGCCTGTCTGCATGTGTGTATGTGTATACGCATGTATGTGTATGCGTGCATGCATGCAGACCAGCAGGCAAGTATATTTGTGTATATATATATATATATGCCGATAGTTGTGTATGTACGCATGCGTCTGTTTGTATGTATGGATGCATGTATGCATGCATGAGTGCTTGCTTGTTGTATGTATGTGTACATGCAAGTATGTAGTTGTGTATGGGTGTAGGTTCATATCTACGTACGTGCGTACGTATGCGCGTATGTATTTAGGTATGCTTGTGTGTATGCATGCCTATGGGTATGCATGTATGCATGCATGCATGCAGACAGGCAGGTAGGTAGATAGGTATGTATGTATGTATGCATGAAAGTACGTATATATCATTGTATGACTGCACGTCTGTATGCATGTGTGTTTCTTTGCTTGCTTGTATGTGTGTACGCATGCGTATATGTGTGTATGTGTATGTAGGTATGTATGTATGTATGTATGTATGTATGTATGTATGTTTGTAGTATGTATAAGTGAAAGAGAGAGAGAGAGAGAGAGAGAACACGTTCACGGGCGCTTGCATTGGGAACATTCGGCGGCGCGTTTCAAAGAGAGGGGGGCTAGACCCTCCAAGACAACACACCCCCTCCTGAACCTGCCCCCCCCCCTCCCAAAGGGGGGGGGTCAAACGCCCCCCCCCCTCGGCGCCCGCGCCGGCGCTGGCGGCCGCCAGCAGCGCACACGGCGGGGACGCAGCGACGATGACCAGAGGCAGCCCAGGGGGGGGTGGTTCAAACCCCCCCTCCCCCCTCGGCGCTAACGCTGGCGGCGGCCAGCAGCGCCGGCGCTGGCGCCGGCGACGGCGGGGACCCAGCGACGATGACCACCACTACTACCACCACCACCACTACCACCACCACCACAGCCTCATCCCACCATCACCACCACCACCATCAACAGCATCGCACAACCACCACCACTACCACAGCCACCACCACCACCACAACCACCACCGCAACTCACCATCACCCCCACCACCACCACCAAAACCCACCATCACTACCACCACCACCACAATCTACCACATCACCACCACCACCGCCACAACCACCACCACTACCAGCAGCACAACCCACCGACACCACCACAAACCACCACACCACCACCACCACCACAAACCAGCACCACACTACCACAACCACCACCACCACC